GTGTCAATAATCATCCCTCTTCTTTCTGTTTTTATACCCATTTTCCATCATTTAAGTGGTGATTTTAACATCATAAAACCTATTTAGGGGATTTTAAATGATCAGAAGTCATTTAATATATTTAGTGATAAATATACATGATTTGAAAGGGTTTTCTTATTTTTTTGTAACCCTTTTCGCTGAGTGTTTCATACTGTTTTTCTGCTGTCCTCTAAGGGCTGCACTTCACAGAATCGGTGATGAACAAGAATGCCTTATATCTGAACCGACACTGCAACGTTTCACCCATTTCTCCTCTGTTCTTTTTTATCACTCCATCCCTGTCTTTGTAAATAAATAATTTACAGCAGGTGAAGACTGTAGAAGAATGAACATATTGTATTTTGCAAATGGTGTATGTTTTTCTGTTTGCCTGACCTTTAAAAATGAGTCTGAGCTACTTAACCTTGTAACCAATTGTGTCATTTGTACCTAATGTATGATAATGCAAATAAACAAAAAGGCAAAATGAGGTCCATACTTATGCTCCGGCTGTGTGTTTTTTTTTTGTATAAACAACAAAAAAGTTCATACCTGTGAAATGAAGTTCAAAAACATCCATGGTTCTCTGCAATTTAAAAAAAATAAGAATCTTAAGGGAAAAGGGCATTGTGTATACCTTTCTTTTATTTCATCTATAAATCTAAATCTTTGCATAATGTTTTTTAATGAAATTCCTCTTTTCTGTACACTCCAATATCGGGATTTCTCAAAGGTTCCCTCTTGGATTATGGTGTCGACTGCAAGGGCATCATAACACAACATGCCAACTTTATTTGTATAAGGCACTTAAAAACCGCTAAAGCTGAAACAAAGGGCTGAACATAGCTGTAACACTATAGACAGCACCTTCTGTAACTTCTATGCCAATATGTGACGAGTGAATTTCTCCGCTGTGAGATCAATAAAGCTCATCTAATCTAATCTAATCTCTAATCTAACACAAGGCAACCAAGATTATAAAGGCATGCCAACTATTAGAATGCATAATAAAACCAGTTAAAACAAACAAGGCCAAATTAAATCCCGCTAGTGTTAAAAACTAGTGTTGCACTAATACTGATACCAGTATCGGGCGAGGCCCCGATCCAGCACTAAAATGGTGGCATCGGTATCGGCGAGTACCGACAAATAGAGCACTGATACCATTTTGAGAGCCAAAAGTTTATTCAACTATTGTCACCCAGTCCAGGTAGGCAATAAAAAGTTCTACTGGATTCACCTTGTGTTAGTCTTTTTCCTGCTTCACAAAGGTAGGCAGCAGCTTAACAAAGCCATGATGGCAATTATTTTACATTCAAGTAGTGTGCAGTTCTTCATATATACACACAAACATCAATTTCAAACAGATGCTATCGGTGTCAGCCAATGCTGCACAGCCAGGTATCAGGTTAAAAAACAAATAATAAAAAATGAGTTTTAAGCCCAATTTTAAAGAAGGCAGCGATGGTGTAATTCTAATGCAGAGAAGGTAATTCCACAAATGAGGAGCAACAACAGAGAAGGCCCTGCCCCCACCACCACAAAAAAGCATCCTCCCTGACCTTGCTCCCTGCAGGATCTGTTCAGCTGACCTGAGGGGCTGTTATATCTTGGACTAAACATTGCATTGTTGTTCTGGGATTTCTCTCAGGGCTGCTTATTATTTAACTCTATTCTTTAAGCCAACTCTTGCCACCTAGTCACTCACTGCTGAAAAAAGAGACGGAGGAATAGTGCTTGCCACGTTCATATTTCAATATGAAGATGGTGTTTTCGAAGTAGCTTTAGAGGCTGGAAAAACTTATCATACATGTTAAAAAGTTTTACCCACAAGTCTTCCTTTTTATCTGAGTTGAGTTATCAGGATTAGTTGTGAGAAAGTATTTTATTAGAACATCAAAAATATTCTGAGGATTTCTTTCCATCAATTTCTCAGAGTCAGAGCTCAGGGTCTTACTAATGCCTCTATTGATCACTGAAACCTCTTGACTAATTTGTTCTAACCTTGATGTCTGCTCCATTTTGGATACTCCTTTATCTTGTTAATGGAAAAATAGCTTTGGAGCCTACATGTAAAGACTCGGCTACCTCACTAATATCTTTTCAGATGAGGCCAGATAATTATATCTCGATAATGGTTAGTATTAGATTGAATGCTAATAAAAAGATGTATAATGTTGTGACTAAAATATATATATATATATTTTTATGTTTATATAAATGGGCTGCATGGTAGCGCAGTATGTATCGTTGTTGCCTTAGAGACAAAGGGCTCCAGGTTCAAATACCGGCAGGGGGTCTTTCTGGGTACTCTGGCTTCTTCCCATACTCCAAAAAAAATCACTTTAACTGTAAATTGATTAGCTTCTCTAAATTGTCTTTTGGTGTGAGCGTGTGTGTGTGTGTGTTTGTGCATGGTTGTATGTCTCTGTGTGTCTCTGTGTTGCCCTGCAACAGACTGCCAACCTGTTCAGGGTACAACCCACCTCTCGCCCATAGGGTGCCTGACGGATTACGAAGTTGAGAAAATGGGATAAATGAATCTATAAATGTAAAACAAACATTCCTTGGATATGCTAAGGTCCTTTTACTTTTTCTCATTATTCTTTGAGGTGCACCCATGGCCTTTACCTATTTCAGACAAAATGTGCCTGAATGCATTCTTACCAATAATAGTGTTGGGCCCACTGGATTGTGTGCTGAGCTGTTTTAGGGTTTTTCTTACTTTTTCCTCCTCAGAGACTCCAGCCCAGACAAGCCTCCAGCTGGTTCCAATTGGACGCAATCAGGGAGCAGTATTTAGAGGAGTGGATTCCCTGGGATGGACACCAGTGGGTTAAAATTCCACATAGGGGTAACCTGCCTGCTAGCTCTCCTAAAGACTGAACTGATTGCTTAGACTCAAGCTTACCTCCTTGTCCTCCTTCTCTCTCCTAGAACCCTTGCAATCTCCAAGCCAGTTCTCCACTCAGTCCTCCTGGATCCATCCTCGATTGCTTACCTGCCTGTCCACCCTCTGGAGCTCTCAAGCCAAAGCCCCCATCTCAGTCAAACTCAATCTCAGTGGGCTCATCCAACCTCCCCTCCTGCTGCTCCGTTCTCCAAAGAACTGTAAGGAATCAGCATCAACTCTTAATAACTCAGATCCTCCTGCCAGCATCTAACTGATCTCTCTCCCCGTGCAGTTCCAGACTAAGCCGCTGTTGCCCGAACCACCACGCCGGGCCGAACTATTCTTTCTGTAAAACTTTTCAATAAACATTCTAAACAGCTTCCTGACTCGCGTTGTGTCTGCGCCAGAGTCTTCTATTGAACCATGTCAAATAGTTTATATTTAAATCTAAGATATCATTCTTACAGCCAAAGCTTTTTTCCTCTTTTTTTAATATTTAAGCCTGACATAAAACGTTCCTAAAAAGTGAATATGTTTACGGAAAGAATAAGAATAAAAACACACTTACACCAGATTCTGCACTTTGTAACTGCCTTTATATCAAAACAACAAAGCATGTCTTTAATTTATTTTTTTTCGATTTTTCAAATAGAAATATAAAATATAAATAGAAGTATTAACTTTTTCTACTGTGTGTCTAAGATCAAAAAGTAATAACACATTAGTGAGTCATTAATATACACATATACATCTTCTGGGATGGGCTTCTAACCCGGAACCTTCTTGCTGTTACCAACTACACCACTGTGCAGTCCACAATGAAACACATTAAACATTATACTGTAAGACACAAAATGTCAAGTCAATTAAATATAGTAAATAAAATAAATAAAAAATGCTTTTTTTGTAACCAGTACATTTTACAAATGTTTCTTTTTTTTTTTTTTTTCTTTACCCAAATGATTTTTAAAAATGCCTACAAACACAACCTAAGTAAACATGAATCCTTTTAGAGATAATACGAAAAGACATTCTGGTCATAAACAATTACGTTATGCTTTAATATGCTATATAGCCTTAAGTTAAACAGATGCAGTAATGTTACAGTCCAATACACATTCATGTCAATGCCAGCAATTACTAAGACAGGAAGTATACCACAACCAAATTAGGATATACTCGCATGCATTAGCAGTTTTATTTTGTACCTACAGCACACCTAAAGCCATACCTTGTTTCATACAGCATACATATATATCAGTTTAGACAAATAAAAATGCTTTGTTCTAGAAGCCCTTTTAAAGTTTTTGCTTCAGATTTTTCATCTTCTTACTTGTCAGGCATACATTTATGCCATAAACTGGTTAAAATTATTATTTTCTTAAAGAGTAATTATTTTCTTAAAGGTTAATGTTTTATTTTATTTTTGGTATCTTCTGTGTACAATATTTAGGGAAAGGGTGTGAGAAATTATCCTGAACACTATACACATTGTATTCTGCTTTTATTGTTATTTTTTTTATTCAAATCCATCAATTAGATGCTGAAATGAAAAAAAAAAAAAAAAAAGATTCAGATTTGCATGACATATCTGTGCTTACAGCTCGTGTTTCACTTAAAGGAGTGTGAATTTATTTCAGTTCTTTTTTTAAGTGAAGGTAAAAATAGCCCACTTGAAAGTGATGGAGGAAATAACACTCCAAGCAGATGAGATGCTTAACTGGAAGAAGAATTTAGGCCTGATTGCATTCCAATCAGGTCAGTGAGTGGTGGTGTAAAATGCCAAGTCAGAGGAAGCTGATGACAGCTTCCATACTCACCCTCTGCTTATGACCTGTTGTGTTGATTCATCTGAGACACAATGAAATGCCGCTTTTCAGCAAGAGTTAGACTATAGTTGCTCACAACATATGACCAAATGTTATGATGAAGCTATGGTTTTAAATCTTCCTTCCTTCCTTCCTTCCTTCCTTCCTTCCTTCCTTCCTTCCTTCCTTCCTTCCTTCCTTCCTTCCTTCCTTCCTTCCTTCCTTCCTTCCTTCCTTCCTTCCTTCCTTCCTCAAACCTTCACTTCTTACCGACGGTGTTGTTTTTGAACTCTCGACCATCCTATCCAGCAGCATCATCCACACACAGCAACCCTCCGCGCTCTCACGCGCACCTGTGGGGAGAGGAAGAGCGCAGCCTGTTGCCACGTGCCGCGCATCGCGCCGCGCGCTCAGTTCTGCCTTGGACAGTAAAAAGGGAAGCAGAGCGCGAGCTTGCACAGCCGTTCTAAGCCGAGATAAAGCGGACCAGTCAACACAAAGAGAGGACGGAATATAGAAGAGGGGAAATTGTTTCTTTTCTCAACCAATTTGCTTTACGAAGGTAAATAATTTCACTTGAGTAAATGTAGTTTTTCCATTGTTTACAGTTTCGTCTCATTAGACCCAGACTGTCTTTCTTACGGTAAACAACACAAAAGGATGTTCATGCTACTACTGTTAATCGACTTATAAATATTTCTGACTTCTGGAATAAACTCTGGCAAAGAAGATGTTTTGTAAAAGTCTATAACAGTACCTCATTTAACCTTAAACCAATCAGTCGTCACCTTTTTCATTAGGAGAATATTAAGAGCATTAGATATAAAGAAAACTAAACACTCATTTCTAATAGTTAATAACGATTTAAGCTGTTTGAAAAACCAAACATTGTTCTAAAAGGTCTTTTAAAGTGAGTTGAGAGAGAATTTAGGAAAAAGTAAATACTATGATCCACATTTACTCTGATAAAAAAAATATATATTTCTTTAACACAAAGAACGTACAAGGAGATGAAAGGTGTTAAAATACGCTTATCTCCACCAGGCTACGTGTTGTTATGACTGGTTGATGACTTGTGAGGTGGATTCAGCACCATGGACAGCGATTACACTTTCAACAAATTAGCCAATTAAATGGAGTGATTCCTTTTATGAACTAATTAATATGGAATTACTGAAAAGTATATAAATTTGCATTTATGAGTTTCTGCACCTGTTCTGCTATAAAATATAATATTCTTGTCAGATTTAAGAGAACGTTCTTTTGTTTGCAAAAAGAAACAAGCATTAATAATTTTTTTTATTTTTTATTTTTACCAGACTGACTTGGGTTAAACTATCACATTTTTTATATATAAAATTTTTTGGAAATGGCTGTTTGTACTTGCCAATTATTCCAAAGTCTTAGCATTACACTAATGGAAATTCCAACTGGTACTATTTTGAAAAATCAAAAATAAATCTTCTAGCATACAATATATATCAGTGGAAGGGTTATTTAGTTCATATAATTTTAGGCGTTGGAGCTGCCTAAATCACTGTAAACTTAACTTTTTTTTTTTTTTTTACTTTATCAAAAAGCATCTTGGAGATCCTTCCTTGTTTCTAAGAGTTTACATTTTTAGCATCAAATGCACACAGTGGTTATTCAGCACAAGTCCTACCTGCCTTGTTGTTTTAAACATATTTCTTGTCTACACCACCTCCTCGCTTGTGTCTTTTTGATATCACACCAGCATTGTTCACAGGTGTCAGCACTGCTAACAGTTTAGGCAGCCCCAAGAAAATGTTGGAAAATACAAATACCATTGTTCTACAACAAATATAAGGCCCACATTTGAACATTGTCTAGTAAACCTACTTGGTTTAAGTAATAGCTTGTTTTATGTCCTTATACTCATTTATAAAGTAAAGTTTTTCTAAATAGGGAATAGGGTTGTCAGTAATACAGATACTCGGCAAAGTATCAATAGTCAAATGGTGTATATGGACAACAATACTAATTTGGTATGGTATCAATACTAAAGATGAATGTCGTTTGGATATTTTTGCTATTGTTAATTTTAGATTTATGAATTATTTACACTTCAAAAGTTCATTTATGTTGTATTTATTATCACACCTATTCAACTGGCTTCTGTGATTCTATAGAGAAAGCATTATCCATGTAGACGATTTCTTTTGATAATTGGTCATTTTTTTTATCCTAATGGTATCAAAAAAGGATATAGTGTATGAAATATTTTCCTGGGTATCCAGATCATTTTTTTTGAAATTTTAGTATGGTGACAGCACTTGAAATGAAGCACTAAGTCATCACCCAAGGACTGCAAACAGGTCACTATCAGCTTGTTCAGCCCTGATCATTGGCTGCTCATTAGAACGGCAACATTTTTAATAAGATGTTGGGACTTTCAGCATCAGTAAGATTGTATAGAATAGGTCAGAGGCTGTAGAGAGAATAAATAAAGAGATTTCCTATAACAGGTCAAATATGTCCACGTTTCATTCAGGCTACGGGGAAAGGGACAGAAGAAGATATGCTTTATGAAGTAGAAGTTTTCTTCGCTTTACCCTTTTGTGTCTTTAAGCAGCTAAAATAGCTCCACTGTTTAGAGTAACATCAGTCTGTCACTTTTTTTTTTCCAGGAGTAAAAGACAACTGATGACCTAGCTTATTGTGTAATGCCAACAGCTGCAACATTTTGTGTGTTATTGTATATAAAGATGGTGCATTAGCACAGCCTGCGTGCTTGTTTTCCAAGCAGGTTCCACAGCTTGTAGATATCACCCAGCCCTATAATAGAGTTAAAAAAAAGAGTTACCCTTAGAAGAATACTACTGTTCTTGCATTGCTAACTGAGCTAATAATTGTGTTTGCCAAAATGAGATGCAAATAATAACCATGAGCTCCTCCAAATAGCTGAACAGATTTTTTTTTTAAAGTACTGAAATCCTGTTTTAAAAGAAAGTCTCTTTCACACTAGATGTTATGTTATCTTACTCCTAACCAGGGTTTTTAGGACACTCATTTGCATCAAAATCAATAAACTGAATGTTTCCATCCTCCAAAGTGTGCAGCAGTGCTGAGGACACACAGGTACTCAGCCCCTCCCATACCTAACAGCAGCCCACTGAAACAATGATGGTTAAAAAGGATAACAGTGAACTGCAGCTGGACATTTAGAACTCCTGTGATATGGTAAGTACTTCAGGAGATATAAAGTAAAAATGATATTCCCAGGCCGTTTAGGATAGCTGACCAGTAAGTGATGATCCAAGCTTGGCCTTCTAGTATTGTCTACAAAGACAAGCCATGCTAAAAACTTTGTAGAGTAACTTAGGCAAAAATGTAGTTTATTAGGAATATCAAAGGTTCAGCGAGGCTATCCACAGCAGAGGAGCAGTATTTTTTAGTTTGGGCACAGGATGCTCTGTAGCTATGGAATGTTAAAAATAAATCTGGTGTTTCTTTGTTTGAAAGAAACATAATATATGCTAAAGGACTGGGCGATGTGGCTTGAAAATTCAATCTCAAATGTTTTCCTTCTAAATCTAATTGATCAATTATTTCCCCCTTAAGTTTTATCATAAAAAATGACAAAAGACACACATTACTTTCAGAAATTCCTTTTACTTCAATAATTTCCTCTGAGATCTGTCCTTAATTTAAAAGGCAATGAATGTGTAAACATGCTTGTAAAGCAATCATGTTTCACAGCAAACAATGGAAATAAAACACTCTGTATGTTTGCAGCTAGTTGCACTGAACTACTTTAGCATTTATGAGCAGACATCTGAAAACAGAAAGTGATTAACTGATGCCACTCTGCACTATGGAAGCCCTAGGAGTGCATTGGTGGAAAAAAAAAAATCCTGATTTTTTTATTAAACAGAAAATTCGATGATTTGATTTTTTTTTTTTTCAATTAATCACCCTGGCTATTAACAAAGTTATTTAACAGGTTCAGAATAGATACTTAAAACTGTTGGAATTAAAAACACAGCAGATGATAAATCTCAAATAGAAACTGATCAAAGACCACTAATAATTACTTGCAGTTTTTATAGAGACAATTTTAAGATACGAAGCAAAAAAAAACCAGGAGGTTAAAAAACTGATTTGAATCTTTAACATTTTCGAAAAATAAATCTGAATCCAAGTACACACACAAACATGGATAATAAATGCTTTACTAAAAACTATCCCTTTCAATTGTTTACATTACACAGAAATTATGTAAAGAACGTATTAGGCTTGTACTTATTCGTTTGCTGATGATAAGGAAACCATCATATCCTGATTGGTTTGGGTTCAATTTTTACCAAAATAAGAAATATGCCTTTTCTCTCCAACAGCATAAATATACCCTTATTAAATCATTGATGTTTAACTCCTTACAGTAAAAAAAAACAATCAGTTGAATCAGTTTTGAGTGCTCAAGCTTTACAAAAAAACTGGGATTTAGAAATGGGTTTAAGAGGTATGCTAGTATGCTGTTATGTTTTTCCATACTTCAGAATATTTTTGTAAAACCGTCATAATAAATGGGATCGGTTATATTGTGATTCAGCTTTGAAGTCCTATTGTCTGTTCATTTTCCCAAATTAATGTCTGGTTTCCACAGTGTTGTTTCTCCATGTTTCCATCTCAAAGTTAACAGTGTCCAGGATTTTTTCTTTTAATCATTTCCGATATTCATAATCCATACTTAGGGATTTCAGTTGTTTTTTTTAATCATTTAGAATAATACATGTTTATATATCTTGCTACTCTCAACACGAGTTGATACATACACAGAATCTAGGTCTATGAAATTCAATCTAACCAGAAGTTCTCTAACGATATTATCTTTTTCTTTGACTTGCAGTTACATACAATCAATTCTTCTTATGATTCCTGCATGAACTTGAGATGAGCTATATTTATGTAATTTTGTCTTTTTCCTGTATTGCACCATCCCATCTCCAGAATGTAATATACACTGCCAAACCAAAAGCCTTGTTTTTTGGACTTGCTCATCTGTCCATTCATGCTTAACTAATTTGGAGGCTTCTCTGTACTGCGTTGCCTGGCGACAGGGACATGTCAAGCTCCTACAAACGACAGACTTGTTCTCACCACAAACACGGGGAAATGGAGGTTAGGACGATTGCTCTGGGTCATTGTTTTTATGCAACAGTCATTTAATATGTTCCCTTTTAAACATCACTTTAAAAGACTTGTCTGCAAGTGTTAGAGCGAACCTTTTCCCATTAAGTAAAACATATTTTTGCCAGTAAACAACATGTGACCACTGAAGGACTTTTTTATGTAGTAATTAAACAGGAATTGGGCTTAGAGACAGAGCATGTTTTAAATGCCCTTTAGCCATACAGAGGCCATTTGAAACCTACTTTGATCATAACTAATTATCCAAATTATTTTTAGATTTTTTTGAGATAATGCATACAAATATCAATACTCCTTTGTACTAATTTTGGAGAGGATAACAAAACATAAAGCACTGAAGTTCAAATTGTTAATGAAGAGACACTTTCAGTGTCAAGAAGCGCCTCTGGA